TGATTTAGATGTTTCAGAGTAGAGGTCTCTGAATGCAAGCCTGTATAATGTTAATGTTGCTTAGAAGTGTTTTTGAAAATCCAAACCATTGTGGGCTGCTTCTGTTTATCTATCTCTTAAATTCCTATAGAAATTATTTCTGAAGTTTTGGTTTTAACATGTGAACATATGACAATGTTTAGACGTTTATGCTTTCAAAGAGAAGTTACTGTTAATCATTTCCCATGACTTAAAGCTTTCCTTGCAGTCATTGCCTTTTTGTTATTTGACTTTGCCTCTTTAAACTTCCAGGCCCATAAATATATCATAAATTAGATAATATATAAATAGAGAAGATGGTTTCTGGCTGAGATCCCGGTCATCTTTCCTTTACAGTTCTCATTCTGCAGCCAATTATATAAACAAGAGGACCTAAGAAATTCTTATTACAATACATTTCAGTAATTCTGGACATTTCTTCATAACCATTGACCCCACTACCGTAGAACAGGTGCATTAGCTGGTAAAAGCACTGTTATTAGCCCTTTTATTTCCCAAAAATGCCCACAGTGTTTGAACAGGAGGCTATACAAATTTAGCCTTTAAACTTCTGCGCATAATAATTAGTTGAAAGAGGTGGAATAATACTATAAAGCATGCTCTGCTGACAGTGATTCTGTTCATGTTTTTCGGAAAGAGCTGAGAGCAAATAGGCAGTGATGGGAGTAACGGCGTTGAAAGTAACGGCGTTTGCGCCTTGTCATGACTCATGAGATCGTTACGGGTGTTAATGTACAGCACACACAAAAGATGGAGAGTGAGGAGGACTCCAGCAGCAAAACAGCGTTTTCCAGATGGAAATACCGGTGTTACGTCGAGCTGCGCTTCCCAATCACATACGGTTTCCCCTGCATCTCCGCACAGCGCAGGCGGCACGATTCACCGCGGACGCGCGGACAGACAGACAGACAGATAGACAGATAGATAGATAGATAGATAGATAGATAGATAGATTGATTGATTGATTGATAGATAGATGTTGCAGTATCTATAACAACCCAAACACACAGGATTACAGAATTAGACATCCCCAGGTATTAATTTCATACACTCACCAAATCCTCACCAAAACTTCACACCCATGAGTGGAGGTAATGCAGCCTGATGATGTTTACACCACATCAGATAGTGTTCCCCCCATGTTAAGAAGAGTGGAACGCTATCTGACAGGGTTTAGAAGCCCATCAGATACCGTTCCCCCCATGTTATGCAGGGAAACGCTATCTGATGGGGTTTATAGGCCCGTCAGATAGCCTTCCCCCCATGTTGAGCAGAGGGAACGCTATCTGACGGGGTTTATAGGCCCGTCAGATAGCCTTCCCCCCGATGTCATTTACTCTCTCTGCAGGTACTTGTCTTTGTCGTCCACTTTATTCAACTGGCTTTTGAAACACACTGCGAGATGGTGGGGGCGGGGTGGTGAGGGTTACGGGGGCGAGAAACGCAAAAGTAACGCAATAGTTACTTTTACTAGTAACTAGTTACTTTTATTGTGGAGTAACTCAGTTAGTAACTCAGTTACTTTTTGGGAGAAGCAATTAGTAACTATAACTAATTACTTTTAGTAACGTGCCCAACACTGCAAATAGGCTGAGACACCTGGCAGATTTTTCCAATTAAAATGTTATGAGTGCTTCTTTGGCAAGGCAAGTTTTCCAATTTTCCTAAAAATGCTGATTAGTGGTGTGTTCTTTTAAAAATAAAAATGGAAACCAAAAATACATTTATTAAAACATGTTAATATATACTTGCATATCAAATCCAACGGCTTAATGTTAAGTGTTATCATTGAGAATATAATCTAAAGGCAAATATTTTTCCTCCATTTTCTAAATGAGCCTCTATCTGTGCAGCATCAAGCTGGATTATTTTGTGAACAGCTGCACACATGACGAACATTTCAACCGCTTTTCGATAAACAGGAACAAAAAGCATGGCCCCCTGCGTGAGAGAGGTGGATCAATGTCTGACAGGTTCCACTGATGGGATGACAAAGATCACCTGAGCAGGGCGGGGGTAATTAGAAATGCGGCAGGGAACTCCCAGCGTGACGCTGACAAACTTCAATGATAGGACAAGACAGTACATGGGGTTACTTGGGAGAGAAAAAGGGGCTGATGGTGGGGAGTCGCTACAAGATGAAAAGATACTGGTAATTTCAAGTGACAAATTGAGGTCAGAGGTGACCTAGATGCTGGAGATGTGTGACAGTGTGCTTTACAGGCTTCCTTGAATGGGAATTAGCTCCGTGTTTATTCTGGAATAAAGCAGGAACGCCTCTTAAGGTTTTAATACTAGACCTGTGTCAAAGCAGGGATTTTGGTTTTATTACCATGATGACTATCTAGAAAATTTCTTTTCCTTTTTCTTTAAAGGGAAAGTGCGGTCAGCAAGGAATAATCAATAGATAATTATCTATACCTAAAACTAATATGTTTGTGGTGATTTAATGAATCAGCATTATTCAGTAAAATTATTCATTTTGCCCAAATATAGTAACATCTCGCTCCTGCCATCTTCCAGCAGTGACGCCACGGTGCGATAAGCCTAGCACCATTTCCCCCGCTTTATAAGCAAAATCAATGGGAACTACTAGGCACATCTGCATGTATGACGTCATTTGCGAGCCGGACTGGAGTTGTGACAGGCAGCCCGGGCCAAAGGCGGCTACGCTCTACCCCTTGTATTAATTCAGCTAGCTAATCTGAATGGTTCAATTCCATTTCGAGAGCGAGATCATCAGTGATAGAAGCACTAGACATCTTCCAGGCATGTGAGTAAAACTAGCAGCAGTTCAGCGGACAGGAAGAATGAACGGTAGCCAACATGCCCAGATGACGTCATACGCCCTCCGCCTTTTTTAAAAACATATAAATATAAAAAAATAAAACCGCGGATGTCTGGGGAAAAGTGATTCACCTACACATTATGAATGCTGGCTTCCCATAAATTATAAATTATGAACAGTTTAGTTTGTGCCTTCAAGTCGTTGCCCATAGGAAGACATTACTTGGATATAACCTGATCTGAATATCTTCAGAACAGCTCCAGATCACACAAAACTCATATGGTCAAGTAGAACATGATGTAATAACGTAAGATCAAGGGCCCAATGTTTCCCTTTAAGGCAGCATCCAGGGCCTTTTCTCTGACGTATAAACTTTTTAACTCCTTGTCGCTCTATTTGGGTTTCTGTTTGTACTTTCGCATTTCTATTTCCATAAAATTACATTTATCATTTTATTAGTATTTAACCTAAAGAATAGCCAAAAAGGCACTAAAGCTTCATTGGTTGGTAGGCCGCCCTACCACGTCACCATGTGGTGTTAATTACATTAAGTTAGGTATTTGTTTGTATCAATAAGATGATCATTACCACCAAGAGTTTATAACGAGTGATGTAAAGCGAGTACTTGTGAAAAAACAATTTGTAGAAGATAATCGAGAAAATGTCATAATGACATTTATTCATAATGTCATTATGACATTTCCTCGATTATCTTCTACAATGTTTATGAATAAATAAAATATCTTTTTTTGGGGGGGTTGTCAAACTAAATATTACATCATCTTTGCCTCTTTCACATACAATCACATAGATCTTTAAAATAAAACAGAATTGGCTGAGCACTCAGAGATTTTATATACTAGAAAATGGATAAAACACATCTGTCTCATTTAGAAAACAAGAGAAAATACAGTAAAACTATTTTTCAATCATAAGGGGATATATAAGCCTTATTATGTCCATCGCTAAACCATGTTTGTGTTCCTCATTCACAGTCCAACAGAGCCACGGCTTAATATTAGTCTGAAACCTCTTCAGAGCCCCTGGTTTCCCATGTTTTATCTAAACCTCACTTACTGCTTCACTTACACCCAATTTTTTATCACTCATACTCCTTGTTGACAGTATTGAGACGAGGAACGCTCTGCTTGAAAAAAACAGACGGCTTATGCCTTATGGCATGAAATAAGTTTAATTTCAGGAAAAGTCTTCAGAGGAACTTTATTTTTTTCTGTAACTGTGAAACAGCTTTAGTAATAGTTTGTCACAGAGGTCGGCCTTAAATTGGTTTCCCCCTGACATAATTAAAAAAGTTATACAGCCCAAAAACTGCTCAAAACTGGGCTAAGATTTCAAGCTTTGCTCTCCCCAGAGTTTTCACTTGTCCAATAAAATGTGTTTGTTACGTTACAAATAGCTTTTATTGTGTCAGTATTTTTGCCTCTGGTCATAAATGTGACCTGTATCCAAATAGGTGGTGAAAATAAGCTCTAATAGGCTCCCAAAGGAGCATTTAGTGGTCTGGCACTAAAAAACACAGAGGACAAAAGGAATATAGCTACGGAGGTTTAACCAAACATTATGTTTTTTTCTATTGTCTAGGATGACTTCGAGTTTCACAGGTATAAGAAAGGAATTATTCGTTTGCCCGAAGATGAATTTGAAAGGCTGAAAAAGATGATTTGACTCAGAACCAGGGCTGTGAAATAAGCAGCATTTTGAAAACCACCTAAAGTGAAGGAAAGAGGATGATGGGAGCTCCGTTAGTGAGAGTCTGAGGAGCTGAATATGTGGTGATTGAAGAGGCTCAGAGGTAATCTCATCCTCCATATGGGAGACATGTGTAATGTAAAGTATGACACAGTCGGGGTGTTTATAATCACCTTAAGGTTTGGGTTTTTATCACTCCCTGAGGTTTCACAGCAGAGGGTTGGAACACTTCTGAAATGATTTGCATTAAAAAAGTTTCACGAACTTCTGCTCAAGATTTTTTTAATCCATTGTTAATGCACTTTTATTACTGACTCAAACAGAACACAGGAATCAGGTTGTTTCTATTTGCTCTCATTCTGCATCTGTCATACACAGATGATTCCTCAGCCTCGCTCTTTAAATGTGATTAATCTATTTTACATCCTGCAATACACTTCCTGCTGCAGGCCTCTGCGCTCACCTGTTCCCTTCTTGCAGACGTAGGGCAGATTGTAGTTGCAGGGCACGTCGTTCCATTTGCCGCTTTCATGAGCGATCATTACCACACAATCCTCTCCTCCAGCGAAGAAGTTGTCAGGCTGGTTTTCCCGCCAGTTTTCATATTGCTACAGAAATGCAGAAAGTTAAGAATGGCAACAACTGAATAAAATGCTTTTATTGGATGGCTCTAAGCAAACAGTTTAAGTTAGTAGTGGGATAAAAACAGGATATATTAAAATGCTTATAGATTTCTTCTTACAGTGGTGTCCATTTCTTAAAGTGCTCTCTAGATGCTCCAACATGTGACCATATCTCCTGGTGTGTGGTCAAAGTGTGCTAATAAAACCTGCTTTAATAGCTTTTGCTGCTAATATATTTGCTAACATTAAAGTCGCTTAAAGTTGCTTAGTTGCCCATTCTGAGTACAAGTTTTAAGCAGTCAAAAATACAACCTGCTACCTGACACGCTTTTTATTGCTAGCGCCTGCTTTAGCTTCCTACTGAGCTAAATTAAAGGTTTTTAGGAACTACAGTCTGAAATTTGGTCGTCTTTGATTTAAAGCTACATGTTGGGAACTATTAAACTATGTTTTATTTTTTTGAAAACAAATTAATTTGAATGTTTGGATTTCCAAAAAATATCACCTGAATCTCATCTAATCTTATAATCGAGCTACCAGTATTCAGTAGTCTAGCTGTAAAAAAAGGGTGAAGGGTGGTGATGGATGATGGTGGATATATATATATATATTTTTTTTTTTTTCCACAGGCATATAGTCTAATTAATATATTCTATTAACCTAAAGCAGAGGTCTTCAAAGTTTTCCAGGATTAGGACCCCCAAACTGATGGCGAGATGGAGTGGGGACCCCCAAATTATATATATTGTATGAAATTGTGTTATATCAAACGGGTCCTATAGTCACTCTATTGCATATGGAGTAATGTAACTAAAGTAATTTCGCCCTGAGATTATTAAAGTATTTCTGATTCTGATTCCTGGTTGATTGGACAGGTGCTTTACGACAGCGGTCCCCAACCACCGGGTCGCGGACCGGTACCGGTCAGTGGGTCATGTGGTACAGAAAAAAGTATATATGTATATTAGGGATGGGACGATTTATGAAAACCATCCGAACCGTTCAATTCGACTGTCTC